AAAGAATTTGAAATAAACATTGTCTATTTTCGCATATCATGCCTAACATCCAATGGCAATAGTCCAACCTCCAATCATAGTCTTCCTCTTTCAAGACCTGATACAAAACGACATGATAGGGGTGCAGTTGAAAAGTAATTAAACAAAGTTAAATTTAAATAAATCCTTATATTTTGATGGCCATTAGAACGTACCTAAGGTCCTTCAAAATATTTTGAACCGTTGTTTCGTGATATGGCCAACTCAAGGGATGTGCTAACATGAAGATTTCCTTCAATATATCCTAGTAGGCGGTTAATATTTTCATGTGTTTTTCCAATTATTTGCCGTTGAAACGTAGGCCGAAAACTACCATTGGCTAGTAAGCTCGCCTCAAATCGGAGAAAAACTCCCACTCTCAAAGACCCTGGTTTTGTTGTCGAGTCGCTTAAACTCGGCGTTCTAAAGACGTATGAACAGATGCATCGATCATAAATTGCCCAAAGTAACGTGAAACTATTGACAATTTGAGGATTATTTATGTTTTGATTAGGTACCTATTTGTTTTGTTGTATTCCATGGCCTGCTTCTATTGTCTTTTTTGTATATACTGAATGTCCATTTAAACCAAAAATATGCCTATTGTTATTAGTGTTACTTTCTTACCTCTTAGCGATATTTTGTAATACTTTCAAAAAGGGTGATTTCATCCTTAAGAATAAAAAAGAATTCCAGAAAAAATAGTTTTCAAAAATAAAAATTTAAAGGATTTTCATATAAAATTTTCTTTGGTCTAAATTTCAGGTTAGGAACAAGATATTGAGATGCGGTTTTCGCGAGCTTGCTTGAACATCATTTGGCTACTTTTTCATAAATAAATCATACCGAAGCTAATAATTTTTTTTAGAAAATTAACCATTTCTGTCGGAATGTCGAAAAACGCCCTCAAGCGGCCATATGTGAAACGAACAAATATTATAAATAAAGTAGCTTTTTTCAACTAGCCCAAGTTTGTTAAAATCGGCTCAGTCGTTTCGAAGTTACAGGGTGTTTTTTACAAAAACCTTTGAATACCCCCCACCACTTTATTTTTTGAGATACAGCAAAAATTTTAACAATTTTAATATAGCGAAAGTTACATAGACATCACTTTTTAGAAAATTGCAGTTATGCCTCCTAGCAGCCATTTCAGAAACTTGAAGACATTTTCCAGGTTTTTCTCTTGGCCTTTTTAGTATCTTTGCCGCCAAGATAAGTTCCCAGATACAGTACATCGCATTCTTCTGTACATGCATAATTGATGTGTTATTCTGGGACATCCTGCATAAGAGCAATTAAGTTTTCTTGCAATTTCAATTAATGATAGAAATAGTCAGTTTTTCAAAATATCGGCTGCACGCCTTATATTTGTCAAAATAGAAATACGATAATACCTCTAGAAGTATATTTGTTGGATTCTAGATTCTGAAACTTATAACGAATGACTAGTAAAATGTGATTAATAGTGTGTTTCACGGTCTAATAAGAACAAACGGAGCTTTGGACGTGCTGTAAGTGGTAAGCGTTTAACGTTTGCAGTTACCGTGCAGCCCTAACGACACAAGTGGTGCAAAACGAGACGTTATGCAGTCGGGACTCGGTAGCAGTCCGCCGGATTTATAAATAGGGAACAAGGAATCTGTCTCTGGTACACGGGGTGTATGGAAAAAATGGTGGCACAAATGGTGAGAGACCAGGCCTAGACCATGCTGATGAATTGTCAAAAAAACACGGTGGGCTGTCTTTGGAGGCACGGACGAAAGCAGCATCTTCAAGTGGAAGTCTCTAAAAAAAAGTCAATTACGAACATGTATAACTGAGAAATTAAAGAGTACTTTCATCTGGCAACGTCGCCACGCCTCTCCAATATCTGAAAGCATGGTAGATCACGGCGCACCAGTCATGCAGGACACATACGAACACCGGCACGCCGGCCGCGACAGTTGAAGCGATCAGACGAGGGATACTTATCGAAAACATTTTTCTATCGTTATAAGTATTGATCGGGACTGGAAGTGTATTAACATGCAAGCATCAAGAAATTGCGATACACCCTCCCCACTTGTCTACAACTCCAACCCCAAGTATGAGCGACTTTTATATATTTTTTTTCTTTGAACGAACATCTTGAGAGACGAGTATCAACACTACATCTTTAAAAAATGTTCACCGTAAAACATTATCTGAAGTTCGACTGTGAAATATCAACGATCCATCCGACAGTTCAGCTACAGTTGCTATGGAGACTTCAGTCCTCTATCACACCACATGCTCTAAAAATTCTTTAACTTACTTCCTGCCTTTTTAGAATACAGAGATTCTACTTATAGAATCTACAATCTATAAAGATGAGTGAGAATGGGAGGAAAAAATGAAGTTGGCCGCCACCGGACTGATTTCCAAACACTATAAAGCTTTTAGCACACGTAGTAACATTGTGTGAACATTTCATTACAATACGAGCGGTACTTCTCAAGTTATAGGCCGTTATAAAATTAGCGGACAGACTGATAGAAAGGCAGACCGACGGAAATGAGTGACATGGTATTTCGTAATGTACATGTCATATAGCATCCAAAAAACATATCTCATTTTCAAAAATTTTCGCGGTGACAATACTTTTCCGTCAGTCACCCAAAGCTCTTCTGTAGCAAACATTCAACTATTGAAATCCAAAATGTTGAAAAAGAAAATACTTACATATTCTACAGTTGAATCTTATATAAATCCATTTCTATCGGTCTGTCTGTCTGACCGCTAATCCTTGTCTTGTCTATAAGTTGAAAAGCACCGCTAGAACTTTGATGAAATTTCCACACAAGGTTACTACTAGCACAAGGACGAAAAGGCTTCATAGATTTTGAAAATCGGTCAAGTATCGGTGGAGGTAAGGGCAAAAAACAGCTTTGGACGTTTCAGAGGCTCCTGATCATTTTCGGAATTTTTTTCTGGGAGGTCAAACATTGGTGGTTGAGAGGTTGTAGGGGATGCGGGAGATCTTCATTTTCTGGCGTTAGTATAATTATACGCTTCCAAACCCGGTAGTTATACACACCTATTATATTTTCAACAAATGGAGAACAAACCTGTCACGTCGGAAGCTCTTTTTGGGATTCTGGGTAGCGGTTTACATGCCTTGGCTGAATGAGAAGAATCGCCAACAATTTTTTAATATAATCGGCGTCTGATTCAGCTTATACATGAATTGCAAGATTCTAAAAAAGTTTAAAATAAATATACACGTGAACATAAAATCGAATCATCTTTTGACCATGTACACTGGATTAGTTAATCTGTTCAAAGAAATTTACAGCTGACAATGATCATGTACACAGATCTGTACAGAAATTTGAGTAGAATATTGCGCTTTCTTTGCTCAAATCCATTTAAAATAGATGAATAAGAAGCGCATGTGAGATACCGTTCACGAATGGTGTAACAGGGCTTTGGAAATTTTCAATTTTGTATGATATGGAGTATCTAAAGAAACACAAAAGAGAAAAAGAAGCAGTATTGAACCTGGGAAGGTGGAATACTAATACGACCATTAAACCAACCAGTCGATTGCGAATTAGTTTCAGAAACATCTATATAGCTGTACCAAATATCTGCCTTGAGTTGAAACGGCAAACGGGTTAAATTTTGTGGAATGTAAGAAGCTCGCCAACCATCGCGCAATGACCGACGGACATTACAACAACGCATTTGTGCGCCTCTTGGGGATATTCCAGCAGATTTGCTGGTTTTCCAATGTTGCAGTCAAGGATGCGAGATATCCGAATTGAAATTTAAACAAGATAAAAAATGTTCCTTTGAATATACGTTAAACAAATTATAATTAATGTGTTGGAGCATTCAAAATAATGAAAAGACACTATGGATTCTATTTTGTTGCATCTGATAGATGGAAGCAATCCTATTAAAGCTGCTCAATATGCAGCCATCACTGCATATCGTTAGCCAAGTAAGGGGGACATAAACATGTTTTTTACAAAATTTAATGGCTTAATGGATTTCTTGTTAGTTAAGGGACAGTACGGTGTTTTGGAAGTATTGAACTTTATACATATGTAATTTTTAGGGGCAAAATTTTTGAATATGGCCATTCAAAAATCATTTAACCTTATTTGGAACGCAAGAAATTAAAGACGGCTCCTTTGCAAGAGTAGATTCTAGTTATAAATGAGCGAAAGATGAAAAAAAAAACAATACCAGCATCAAGGCAGTCCAAGGCAGTGTTGATGATTCCTCGCCTACAAATGATTAATTGGCGGAGTGACAGTTGATGTGTAACGAGTTGTCACACGGTCAGCGCAACCTTGATTGATTGCACATACAGGGAGGGCCATTATTCTTGGAATCGTCGGTAATTATGCCGCCGTGGAAACTTAGAGGAAAAGCTCGGAAAAATCAATAGAAAAGGTGGACCACCAAAGCGCATATTGAGTAATGGTCTTTTGTGGAAGCAAATGTTATGCAAGAAGAAGCGGTTCTGGGGTTTTTATTATCAGCAGAAAATACGTTGGATAGATATACGCAAAACCTGGCGAGGAAGTAGGTATTGTAATCGCGAGAAATTTAGAGATTAGGATATCATGATTTTTTGATGTTTTATGACATGTACATAACGAAAAAGTATGCATTGCCGTCTGTCTGTATGTCGGTCTGTTCGCTAATTTTATAACCGCCTATAACTCGAAAAGTACCGCTGGGATTTTGATAAAAAAAATTAGCACCAGTTTACTAATATACCAATGATGAAAAAGTTTGCTTAGTTTTTAAAAATAGATCTAGTGGCGGCGAGGATAGGGGTAAAAACTTAATATATATCGAATAAAATCATCATTTTCCGAAAAAAAAAATTCAGGGGTTGAAACTTGGGGGTTGTAGAGGGTAGAGGGTTGTAAATTTAACGTCTTTAGTATCAGTTGGAGACGTTCTACAAATCAGACGTGAATTTTTAAGTATCAGCAAGTCATTAGAAAAATGGAACTCAACCGAGAACATTTTTGCGCCATAATTTATTACAACTTTCAGAGACAATTATCGCAACAAGAATGCCTTGCTGAGCTACTGTCTGTTTTCGGCAACGGAGCGCCACATCAGTCGACAATTTACCGTTGGTATGGAGAATTTAAACGTGGACGGGTGAGTCTTAGCGACGATCCCAGGGTGGGTGCACCATTGAAGATAGACATGTGACATATCGCGAGATTGAGGCATCCTTGAAGATCTCAGTGTTACAACATTTTTGAGTTTCTTGCTCACTTTCAGAAACTGTTTGGAGGGGAGTTTGGAATTGTAGGTTGGAAGCTGTATACGGTAAATGGTTGTAAATTGTTGCATATTTTGTGTCAGTGAAAGACCTTCTATTATTAAGAAGCTGCCAATCTCGGTGATACTATGCACCTGTTAGACATAATGCGTCAGACATATTTTCCATACATATGCCATAGAAATAGAAATATGTCATAATTGCTTGATACGTACAGTTTGATATGTAGAGGCCGAAGATTCATCGTACCTAAGTGAATCCACCTAATCGCGATTCGAGTCAATCTACTTGACGCAATTTTTCATTATCACATTTGAATTCTGCGCCATAGTTTACCTGAATGTACTATGCTCCATTTGAGTACAAATATCGTATGAATATTCAGAGGTTTCCCGTAAAAGAGTTTTCAATAATCCAAGGATACCTGTGATTTCAGCAGTAACTCGTATTTTCCAAATCTAGCGTCACTTTGAGCCCTTGAACCATTTCATAACTTTTTGATGATCATATTCTTATTAATTAGCGTTTCAATCACCTAATTGAACCTAGCAAGTTTCATTTCCTTCTTTGTTTGTATCTACGAAAGTGGAAGTGTTGTCTACATATTGCTATGAATATTTGACATTATCTCGTCAATTTTAACATGGATACTACTTGCGTATTTCTCAATTATTAATTGTTTGTTGAAGTTTGATTCGTGGCTAAATAGTTTCTTATAATAGATAAGTGAAATGGAATCCCCTTTATACATAAAACAAATTAAATATGCCTAATGCATAATATGGAGTATGAATTGACCGTTTATTTCAATTTGATTTTAATACCACAACTAAATTTAACCCGAAAGACGCGAAAGTGCCGGGAATCACGGTTCCTTTAACCGAAGTTCCCAATTATCTGTAAGAGTAGCGGTTCTTTGTATCCTGATATACTGGGTGGTCCATTTAAATTTTTTTTTTTAAATGCTATAAAAAAACTACTAAATATTTTTCCAAATTTTTTTTTTATTTGAAAGTACAATCCTTCCGATTAAGTCTGGAATACAACTTCATTTAAATGACTGCCGTGGCTGGCTTTGCATTATCTAATGGGGTCAAATCACAGCTCCGAGGCGGCCAAACAACATCAGAATGTCGGCTGATAATGCGATCACCGAAAACACTTCACAGAAGAGCAATCGTAGCGTTTGCTGTGTGACACGGAGCACCGTCCTTGTTGAAACCAGATGTTACCGACATCAATATCTTGAATTTGTGGAAAGAAAAATTCATTTATCATGGCACGGTAACGCTCACCATTCACAGTAACTGCTGCTCCGGCTTCATTTTCAAAGAAAAATGGGCCAATGATGCCACCAGCCCAAAATCCGCACCAAACAGTCACTCGTTCTGGATGTATTGGCTTTTCTTCGATTGCGTGTGGGTTCTCTGAACCCCAAATGCTGCAGTTTTGCTTATTAACTTAGCCGCCAAGATAAAAATGCGCTTCATCTGAAAAGATGATTTTTCGACCAAAATCAACATCTTCATCAAGTTGATTGCAGGCCCATGAAGCGAAGCGAAAACGCATTGGATGGTCAGTTGGCTTCAATTGCTGAACCAATTGAACTTTGTACGCCTTCATACCAAGGTCTTTATGCAAAATTCGACCTAATGATGTGCGTGAAATGTTCAATTGTTGAGAACGTTGGCGCGTTGATGTGCTTGGAGATTCTGCCACACTCTCAACTACAGCATCGATATTCTCGGGTGTACGCACCGTTTTCGGTCTTTCACGTGTTGGTTTGTCAATAAGAAGACCAGTTTCACGAATTTTTTGCACAAAATACCTCACATACGGTGCTGACGGTGCTTCATTTCTTCCCATTTTTGCACGTAATTTTCGGACACAATCTGCAACATTACCACCACTTTCGAAATATTGTTTTAATATTTCCCAGCGTTGTTCAAGCGAATACACAACCATTTTCGTTAATCGGAATGATATGACTGATGTTCTGTCAAATCAGATGCGAAATAAGTCTTGACATATCCCAAAAAACCAGTAACTCAAAAAAAAAACGATAGATGGACCAGCCGGTACGCTACACATTGTTTCACATCATATTCACCTAAAGGAGCCAGTATATTAGCATGCGTCTAGCCCATTCTCAAAAACATCTGTTTCGTTTCAGACTGAAGCACCTTCAATAACCTTCCAGACAACAGCTATATAAATGGATACGTGAGCATGTTTTCAAAGCCCACCTATGTTGTGACAAATTTTATCCCATATGTAAAGTGCCAGCACCGCAGGTTAGGCCCTTCTCGTGACCTGCTCTGATTTATTGCTCTCTCTATTTGATGCATCATCCCTCATGTCATTATTTATTTCTTCCTATACCCATATTAGATCAACAATTTCTTCACGAATTTATTCTATTATATTATATCAATGGACAAATCCATAGATAATCTGTCAGTACAAAGTGCTGCCCAACACACAACAAATTATTTCAAGAAACATTTTCAGTTTTTGTGTGTGTTCTGTGTTGCGCTTTTAAAAAACGAGGCGAATGTCATAAACACAAACCATATTGTTGAATACCGCAGTGCTATCAAGGTGCTATACTTCAATTGAAAAGTTGTTCAATATAAAGGAAAAAGGTTGGCACCATGGAATTTGACGACCAACTTGGCAAAAATTATAATAAGTTCTAATTCATGGATTTATTTGGTCCCAAATTCAATTCATGGAGAAATTCGAGGTTTTATTGTCAATGTAAAACGGATATGCTTATGATCGCCCCCTGAAAAAGAAAATTGTGGGCACCCATGAAAGTAGCCGCGGCCTACGTCTACCCATAGCTTGCAAGCAAAGTTAGCTATTTTAATAGGATTGCTCAATTCTATCAGACGCAATAAAATAAAATACATAGTTTCCCTTCCTTATTTTAAGCGCTCCAGCTCCTTAATCATGAATTTAATTACCTATATTTATAGGAACATTTTTTATTGTTTTAATTTCATTTCGGCTACCTCGCATCATTAACTGCAACATTGGAAAAACTAACAAATCTCCTGAAATATCACCAACTGCTGCACAATTACGCTGTTGCAGTGTCCATGGGTCGTTCCGCGACAGCTGGCGAGCTTCTCACATCGCACAACATCCTTCCGCCGCTTCGTCCCAGAGTAGCAGCTGTCTGGATCTCTCGGCAGTCTAGGTGGCTATAGTTTAGCATGGCTGTGTAGATGTTTCTGAAAGGATTTTGCAACTGACTGTTTGGTGTAGTGGTTAGATGTACAGGATTAGCATTACACCGCTCCGAGTTCGATCCTACGAAAAAAATACTTTTTTTGTGTTTTTTTTAATATTCCATATCAAACAAGACCTTGTTATACCATTTTTGAACTGTATCTCACATGCTCTTACTATTCATCTATTTTAAACGATTTGTTTGGGCAAATAAAGCGCAATATTTAATCAAAATTCTGTGCAGATCAATCGATATGATAATTGACAACCATAAATCTCTTTGAACAAATTAACTGATCTAATGAAATGGTCGCTTTTCGGTACGTCGATAAGTTTTGCAAGCTGATCTTGTTATTCCTGTCACCTGGATTGCGGTGTTGCCGGCTCAACGGACGTTTCTGCCACCTTTGCTATTTTGTTAGAATTTTATAAAAAATATTGAAGAATACCAATGGAGAAACATAAGAATTAAGGCGTAATAATGTTTGCCAAATAGCTAAAGGTTATTTTGATAAATATTCCCATTGTACGTGCAAGTACAAACAAAACAAGACTGGTGGTATTTATGTTTTACAAAAATTTGTATTTTTAAGAATTGTTATCAAACTTTCAACCATTTACATCTCGTGTCAACAATTTGCACATAAACATAAAACAATTATTTATATTGTAGATTTTCATGCATATAAAATTAAAGCCAATGCATTTTGTGCCAAAACTTTCAGGACATACGTTACGTCGCTGAAAAGTGGCATCAACCTATTGAGGAACGTCCAAAAATAAGAATATTTTGTACCTAGATGAAGTTTATGAATATGAGTCCCTTTTCAGGTTTGTGGCAAAGGTTTTATGAGCAAGCGAGGGTGCATCGAACATATGTATTATAAACACAGCATCAACGCCTTCTCCTGTTACACTTGCGGCAAGACTTTTCCGAGAAAATCGAATTTAATCAACCACACACAGTCCCATAGTGGAGAGAGACCGTACATTTGCCAACATTGTGGCAGAGGATTTAGGACAAAGTCAAACTTAAACAGTCATGTAACGACTCACACTGTAAAAAGTACAGTCGAGTGCAAAGACTGCTCGAAGACATTCCGGTTTAAGGCTTCTTTCATAAAACATAATTTATGCAGATTCATACTGGTGACACTCATCAGGACAACCCTAATGACATTAGACCGTAGGATACACACCGGCGACAAGCCCTATGCTTGCACAAAATGTAATAGAAGGTTCGCGCACAGGACCGCTTCAATAGTGCATATGCAATCGCACACCGCTGATGATCCATTTGGCTACCTTTGGGTGACAAACCGTTTGGATTGAAGCACTACTTATCAAATCATCTGCGGACGAATACTGGAGAGAAGCTATATAAGTGCAAAAAGTGAAACAAAGCTCATACAGCAAGGTCTACCTTGAAAGTACACATGCGAAACAACACTGGCGAAAGACCTTATGAATGCAAGTGATGCGGAAAAACATACAAACAGAGGAACGGCTTGATACAGCACATGAAGGCTCAACTTGTGTACAAGATTGTAATGAGTGTGGTCAGATATTTCACAAGAAGGATCTCTTGGATTTACATAAGCAAAGCAATGCTAAAGACGAGAATTATGATTGCGGAGAATGTGGCGTTGTTTTCACGGAGAAGTCTTTATTAACCGCGCATATGCAAACTCACACTGAGGACAGGTCGTAAGATTTCAGTGATTTTTCAGACTTTCATATTTATCGGTCAATATATGTATTTGAAATGTTTTACAATTTGATATGGCACAGCCAACTAGGCTTGTTCAATTGAAATCCATCTTTGTCAAAGAAAAAATTTAATGGCAAATGTATCTACAAGTAATTACCACTGCAGTTAAGGCACATATCCCATTGTTTCGCCAATCGATGTATACCCTGCTTAAAGAATTCTTGTGGCTGCTGCTTGAACAATTATCGGCATTGTGTACTTCTTCTTCCGACTGAAAATGCTTAGCTTTCAACGCCTTTTTCACTCGCCCAAAGTTGTGAAAATAAGCGATAAATCGTGACTATAGGGTGGATGCTCTAATATCCTCCATTTATTTTGTTGTCGATTTTCTTTCACCACTCTGGCAACATGACGCCGAGCATTGTCGTGCGTTTTCGTCTTATTGCTTGATGGATAGTGTTCAAAGTTTCATGATATAGGTTTGCGTTGACATGGACTCTGTGTTCTTTAAACGAGCAAAGGACCTTCATGGTCGAAAAAAAATGTTAACGACCTTGCCTGCACAAGGTTGAACTCTAAAGTTTTTGGTAGTGGAGAATTTGCGTGTTTCCATGGCATCGATGACAGCTACTGGATGGTTCAAAATAATGATACCAAGATTCGTCGCAAGCAATTATTGACGAAAGAAAGTCAATATAGTTTTTCTTGTATTCCGTGAGATATTGCGAAGGTAAGTCCATTCGCAAGCTTCTTTGGTCCTCTGACAAAAGGCTAGGAACCCATTGTGCACAAGCTTTGCTGTAACCCCATTTGCGTACGATACTATGGACAGTTCCTATACTCACACCAACATTTTCTGAAATTGCTCTGATTGAAATTCGTCGATTTTCTCTAAGCATGCCTACCACAGATGCTACATTCCTGTCTGTTGATGCAGTACGCAATCCACTTGGTCGCGGCTTATCGTTCGTTTCCTCTCTTTCACATCAGGGGTAGCATGATATTTTTATATTTAAATTACAGTCAAATACTATGCATAATAATAAAAATAATGCTTTTAAAAAATATATTTTTCTAAACATTTATTATAGGTTAGTATAATTCTATCAAAGTTCTATAGGTTTTTGAATTGAACAGTTCCTCATTAAAATGGAAAGGAAAACGAGATTGGCACCATGGAATTTGATGCTTAACTTGGCAAAAATTAGAACAAGTTTTAATTTCCTGAAAAATCCTGGTTTACACTTTTGAAATTTTCATGAAGAAATCCGCTGATTTATTGTCAATGTAAAACGAGTATAAGTCCGATACTCTACCTACAGGGTGTCCAATAAGTACCTCGACAAAGTTAAAGAGACTGACCTCCCAAATAACAAAAACTTACCTATATAAAAGTGTCACCGCTTTTGAGATATTGAATTTTTTCTTAAATTTAAAAAAGCTAACCTTTTCATCTGTGGTCTTTAGCTGCATGTATAAATAAGGATACACTTTGTTCATTTTTTTCTATAAAATACTTCTAGATAGTTGCTTTAACATATACAAATGCAATGTAGTTAAAAGATATTAAGGAACCATGATAAAATAAGGACTGTTTTGGGATTTATAACCTTCTGATATTGTTTCCTCAACTTCCATAAAATCATATCAGGAGCAGGTAATAATAATATAGCTTTGTACTATTTAGCATGTCACTGATAGGTAACCACTGCAACTTGAATTTAAATCCAATAAGTAGTGTGTGTCAGTCACGTACAAAAGCAACTATCACTTTTTTCTATTCCAAATAGTACGTGTGGTGCCTTTCTGAAATCTGTATTCAATGAGCAATATTTTTATTCAATATAATGCAGTTATAGCCCAGTACAGTTTTGTTTCGCCACATATGGTCAAAGTTGAGGAAAAAATATCAGAATGTTATAAATCCCAAAATAGTCCTTATTTTATCATGGTTCCTTAATATATTTTAGCAACGTTGCATTTGTATATGATAAAGCAACCATCTAGCAGTATTTTATAGAAAAAATGAACAAAGTATAACCTTATTTGTACATGCAGCTAAAGGCCACAGATGAAAAGATTCGTTTTTTTTTTAAATTTAAGAAAAAAATCAATATCTCAAAAACGGTGATACTTTTATATAGGTAAGTTTTTGTTATTTGGTAGGTCAGTCCAAAGCCTACCTTCTCCTTAAGTTTGTCGTGGTACTTATTGGACACCCTGTATATTGCAAAGTAGATCCCGCACGATGATAATCTTCTAATAAATGCAGCTTTATCTCAAACGTGTCATGTGAAGTGTACATCTTTAAAAAATAATAAATTGTCCCCCAAACTGTTTTTCTAGCTCGAAAATAATATCCCTACAAGTGGTAGTACTTAGGTAAACAAACAAGAACGCTGGGTGTGGGAAATATTATGGTGATATAAACATCACAAATCACTTTGAGATATACCAAAACGCTCTGAACATGTTAAATATATAGATTCAAGAAAAATGTGTCTAACATCTATTCTGCCAAGGTTTCGTATTTGATTTACAGCATTTTTTTTTAAGATAAACATGCGTAGGTATGTATATTTCAGGCACACTTTTCTTGGCGGAGACAAAAATCTCAGAGTCTGTACCGATTAACCATCTTAGCTTCAAAATTGAGGAGTGTACTCCAATCTGAGAAGGAACTAGGGAGTTGTGGCTTTTGTCCGCAGCAGTATTTCCTGCTTCAGACACGTTTCTTTGGAATCAGACCAGAAGGACCTTCTGTGGCTTCGCCTCAACTCCAAGATATCCCCCAAACTTATTTGCTGCCTTTAACGCTTATAGATCAACCACTGTTCGACGGGTTATCAACTTGTGCCAAAAAATTGAACAGCTAGCCTGATTTGTAGGTTGTGCTAAGCGACAGCAGCGTTGTAACCCTCCCAGGGTTGAAATCGTGAATTCTTATTAACTGTAGTGGACCAGGGTGGAATCATACTCTTCTAGTTACTACAAAACAACAATTTATTTTCTAATAGTATAAAGAAGCAGTCCCAACGCTTGACTAACAGATTTAAGTCTATAAAATCAATCTTCGTAAACTTACTCCGTCGTAACTAAAGATTCTAGGCAGGTAGTTACCTCCAAAACAGCCGCTGATGCCAGTGGTTGTGTCATGTGCCAGGAACCATATATATCTTCTCTCACTTTTCACAGTGGATGTCCCCTACACGGCATAGTCCCACGTAACCTTTTATCTTTATTTCACGTGAATATCTATATTTTTGGCTCTGCTGCAATACGTATCGTTTGTCTTTCTCCACCGTCGTATCGGCGATCCGCTCTCTATCATTGATCCATTGATCGGGAATCGGGCCAGACTGCCCCTTTCCTCGGCCCTTCACCTTCATCCCCGTCACAAGAAACTTGTACCCACCGGTACCTGGCACAAGGGGATCGCCTGACGGCGAAGTATAGGTTGCACTACTGGTTGCATACAGGTGGATTCAGGTCACAGCGTGTTACAATTTACCCCGTAAATATACTAAGTGACATATAAAATGCAACACCCAGAATTATTTATTGAATTTTGATAAAAAGTTTCTATGCCACGCCTTTTTTTGGTTAATTAATAAAACACAATGATAAATACTATCTATCGGTTGGTCCAAGCAACAGTTGTCTAGTGGCGTGCAAATTTAGGCCCTAGCTTTGGACAAGGCTACGATGCCGCAGCCGTTATGAGTGGGGACGTTTGGGAGGCGTTCAAAAAAAATCATTGAAGTAGCACCTCATGCTTTGTTTGTTCATTGCGCCGCCCACAATTTAAATCTTGCGTTAAAAGTTGCTGTTCGAGAAAACTCAGAAATCGCACGTTTCTTAGATATTGTACAAGATATTTACAATTTTTTACTGGCCAGAGTATTGTACATTGGCAAGATTTGCAAACACCTTCAGAAGAACAAAATATTTCCAAAACAACCTTAAAAACATTAAATCCAACACGTTTTTCAGGCACTCGTGACTCGATTTACGCGCTTAAAAAAAGCAAAGTTTTTCGTTATGTCAAAATTGTGTATAATGAGAGAGGAAAACCGACCAAGAAATTTGTGAAACTTTTACATCTTTCACTGAAGTTAGAAACCAATCTGCTGATGGTCTTTCAGATCTTATTCTATCATTCCGTTTTCTTTTATCTAAAAAAAGATCATTAACAGCTCAGAAAGCGTTTATTCCTATTTCTATCTACCCCGATTCTACGTCGATTTGTGGCTGCAAGGTAAGCGTTGTCGTTTTATCAAGCTTATCCGACATTTTCAGTTGGTGCACGTATTTCCAATTTATCTCATGATTGGTCCCTTGTCCAATTATTAGAAACATTTTAATACTGACCATGGTGGACATGTAAAATGATTATATAAAAGACTTATAGTTAATAATAATCTCTTTATTTTCCCATTATACACGGTGTAAACGTTATGATAGTCATTATTGAAATGGGTAATAGCGGGGGTCAAAACAAGTCAAAAAGTTCATATGACCCATGGTCCAAAAGACAATAGATTTTTGTCTACACGGTTATAGTTAACAACTTTAAGTGCTTTATATCGGCCACAATCACCAAAATCTTACCAATTTTTATAATCTATTCTAAAACGTTTTTAAATTGGGTAATTGACAAATAAATGGCATAA